CCAAGTTCTCCTGGTCTGTGGCAGCCCAACCGGCCTTCGATCAACTCAAATCTGCATTCATCTCAGCCCCTGTCCTGACACACCCTGATCCAGACTTGCCCTTCATAGTAGAGGCGGACGCCTTGAGTCAGGCCCTGGGAGGCAGTACTATCTCAGAGGAAGGCCCCCCTCCATGTGCTCCATCCCTGTGCCTACTATTTGTGGCAGCTGACCCAAGCTGAGAGGAATTACAATGTGTGGGACAAGGAGCTTCTGGCCATAAAAGCTGCCTTCGAGGAGTGATGCCATCTTCTGGAGGGTGCAAAACACCTGGTGCAGGTTTTCACTGACCATCGAAACCTTGAGCATTTCCAGTCAATGACATGTTTGCAGCCAAGACAGGCACTCTGGGCCTTGTTTTTCTCCCATTTCAACTTCCACAACACCTACCACCCAGGGACTAAGAACAGCAAGGCAAATGCCTTATCCCGCAAGGATCAACAAGATGAAGCTCCAATACCTATGCCCCTGTTCTTGCCCCATAACTTCTTCTGTGCTACCATAGAACAGGAATACCTTGATCAAGTCTGCCAAGCCCTTGCTGGGGATACTTATGCCTGGGCAAAGCAGAATCAAAATGCAGCTTTGAGCTCCTCCAACGCCCCAGTTCTAGAAGAACAAGCAGGCTGCCTCTACTATAGGGGATGTCTCTACATTCCCGAAGGAGCTCTGCACCTTCCAGTACTGCAGCAATGCCACGATGCCCAGACGTCAGACACTGGGATTTCACAAAGATGATGCACTTGCTCTCTCGTGGGTACTGGTGGCCCGGCCTCCCACGAGATGTCTGGAGATACCTCCAGTCCTGCGAAACCTATGCCCAAGTCAAGACACCACATCATCTGCCCCATGGCCTCCTACAGCCCTTACCCGTGCCAACTCAGCCCTGGTCCATGGTCACTGCAGACTTCATCGTGGAGCTTCTCCCATTAAGAGGGCACATGGTGATCCTGGTGGTGGTGGACACGCTGACCAAGCTGGCCCACTTCGTTCCCCTGTCCAAGCTTCCCACCACACAACAGATGGTGCACTACTCCTGACCCATATATTCCAGCTACATGGCCTCCTAGATGCCATGATCACAGATTGAGGTACCCAGTTCACTTCACGGTTCTGTGCAGTATTCTTGAAGCTCCTGAGCAGCACCTGCCATCCGCCTACCACCCCCAGACAGACAGGCAAACTGAAAGAGTTAACCAGGTGGTGGAACAATACCTCCTATGTTTCATGGGATACCATCAAAACGACTGGATGGACTTGCCACCTCTTGCAGAGTTTGCGTACAACAATGCCAGACACGCATCCACAGGTCACAGCCCTTTCTTCGCCACCTATGGTTTCCATCCCTGCAATCACTCATGCACCCCAGGCACTTCCCTTGTCCCCTCTGTCAACAAACGTGTCAGTACCATCCAGAAGACCTAGACCAAACTTTCCCAGCACCTGGAAAAGGCTAAGGCCGCATATAAAAAATACGCTGACTGGAAACGCCAAGAGAGCCCCAGTCTATGTATCAGGGATAATGTCTGGCTCTCTACTCAACACTACGCCTCACCACGCCCTCCAGCCAAACTGGTTTACAGATACCAAGGACCCTTCCAGATTCAACGGCAGACCAATCCTGCCACCTATGAACTGGACCTCCCCCCTCACTAAGAATACATCTGTGAAAATTACCCCATACAATGTGCGTTCCAGTGGTGCCACTGCACCCTCAGAACCCTGGGAAATGGATCTGGGGTTCTTGGAGAACTGATTGGAGGCTGAGAAACCATGGTCTGAGGCCTAGCCATGTCCCTGCCATGAGGTATAGAAAAGGACAAAACAAAGGAAAGGCCAGGGATCTTCAGCGCATTATCCACAGGCACCGTGGGGCCCATGGGCACTCCCAGTACAGCTGTTCACTCCCTGCCCCCTTCAAAAAATAATTTGAAACAAATAAAAAATGATAGAGCACCAGGTTCTCCTTCCTGTTCCTCATCCTGAGCTGATCAGCTGTTCAGAGGATAGAAAAGGAAGGCAAGGCAAAGGGGCATAGGGGAGTGAAAGAGATAGATTAGAGCATGGGTCCACAAACTACAGCTGCGGGCCGGGTCCAGCCCACCATGCTCATTTCTCCAACCCACCTCAGAGCTTTTGAACTCACTTGGAGAAAACTAACTCCGAGCGAGTCCATACTCAGTGGGGAGATGGCTGCCATCACAGTCGCACTCGTGCAGGGAAGATGGGCACGATCGCAGTTGTGCTCGGGGGGGGAGAAGGTGCCCACAATCGCCCCCACCTTCCCTGCACAAGCGTGACTGCAATCATGTCTGTCTTCCCCCCACCCCCGAGCATGATTGCGTCCGTCTTCCCCCCACCCAGCTCGATCACGGACATTGTAGCTATGAGCTGTGTCCCTTAAATATGGACATGCTCTTCCCCACCTCATCTTGGGCTTCTGCTGCAGCCCAAGTGAGTGGAGCAAGCATTTTTAATTTTTTAATTATTTTTATTGTAATTATGTATTTAATTAATTTTAATTATGTATTTAATTTTAATTTTAATTAATTTTAATGTGCAGTGTGCATAGGAATTCATTCATATTTTTTTTCAAACTATAGTCCAGCCCCTCAACAGTCTGAGGGACAGTGAACTGGACCCCTGTTTAAAAAGTTTGAGGACCCTTGGATTAGAGGTTAAGAGCAGTGAGGCAGAAGTATGTGGGAAGGGGGAGAGAAATAGTGAATCGAGAGAACAGCAAAGCAGTCAGGTGGAACAGAACAGAACCAGACTCAGAATAGAGAGGGGAGAAATAGCAGGGAAAAGGGTTGAAGGGAGAGAGGAAAGGAACTGCAATAGAGGATGGGAGTGGAGAGAGAATAAACAAAAGGGAAAGGTCTGTGTGGATGGACGAGAGTTTGTCTGACCAGGGAGGAACAATTTCCACATCCCCCTGCCTCCCAGCCTTGTTCTTCCTCTCCCCACACCACCTCTTGACTAGCCAGGCCCCCATGGTAGCCATTCTGTGCCAGCTACATTCTTCATGGGAGCCATCTGGCGGTGGGGCCCATAGCAGCTTTTCCAATTATCAGATGTGCCCATAGGTGCAAAACAGTCTGGGCTTGAGTGAAGCCAGAAAAGGAGCTCTCAGGATCATGAAAGATAAAGCACTAAGGAGCTGAGTCAGGTAGCCACTCTTTGCCAACCTGGTGCCTCCAAGATGAGTTAGATGACAACTTTCCTCAACTATGGGTATGATGGGAATTGTAGTCCAACACATATGGAGGACACATAGTTAGGGAAGGCTGGGTTACTATTAGAAGTGAAACTTTCAACCTTCCCTTTTAAAGCAGTCATCTGTCTCTGGCTGAAGTGTCTTGTACTATAAATAATTGTAGAAAATAAATACATAAAACATACCCAAACCCTGCTTTGGAATCCCATCTCTTTTGATGGGAACAGCAAGGCAGCAGCCCAGAAGCTGGGAGGATATAACCGTCTGACTTGATGGTGGGGACGTTAATGGTCTTTCCTGTGCCAAATTGGATCCACTTCCCAGTGTGTATTGGCAAGAGCTGTTGGCACTTATGAGACCTTCCAAGCCAGCCCTGTAAACCTATAGCAACGCCCCAGCCTCTAAATATTGAAACTCTCAACTGACTTCATCGGCTGTATTTTTAGGAGGTGGAGGAGGCTGCTGGCTGAAAAGGGAGGGTAGGGTGATTGGAAGGAAGTCTAATCTTCCCTGCCACATCACATCTGGCAATTCCACTGAAACACAAGATCAATTTACTTTTAACAATTCTGTTTTCTCCTCCACTTTGCTATTTAACATTCCCAAGGTAGAGGGAAGGAGGCGGTAAATTTCATCTAGAAAGCTACTCTTGTGAAAGTAAAAAGGTGTGTTTGGGAGGGGGAACTATGATGTGGTGCCACTCTTTAGTTTCTCCCGCCTTTATCATGCAAGAGTATTCTTTCTGTGAGAAAGCTAGGCCTGCCATGTTCTTCCCCCTGGTTGAGGCAAGCTAAACAACAAAATGGGAGATGGAGGAAAAAATAAATGGTTGAAAAGTTCTTTGGTTTGAGTGGAACTATTAGCTGGGATATGAAAGGAAAGAGCTGAACGCTTGCTACTGGCCTCTTTTAATCTAGCTGCTCCAGCCATTAAACAGTGAAGTAACCAGCACAGAATACTGATTCTGCATGTTCCAAAAGGGTAGCTGCAAATGTGTTGTTTGGTTGTTGTTAAATCACTTTGCCAGACTTGGGTACTAGGAACCTTGACTTGTGTGTGGGTGGATTGGGTGAGATGCCATTTGCTTCAGACAGTGAAATGTATTGGGCTGACCCTGCTTGGTTTTGGAAAAGTTGACAGATCCAGTTCATTTTGGTGTGGCTTGCACAGCAGAACTTCCCAGGGGATTGGTGCTCTGGGTGCTTCCATTCTCTCCACTCAGAACATTACCACTTCATTCCATTGCATAGGTAGAATATGCCACAAATCCAGGTGCAGGTTTTGTTCCTTGTCAGATTATTTCCTGCTGCAGCCTTCCCCAACCTGGAAACCTACAGATATTCTGGACTGCCATTCCCAAGTTGCCATATGTTGGGAGTGAGAAAGATTGCTAGCTGGACTTCAGAGGAATCAGAATCTGAAAGAGAACTGAGAGGGGGAGCTGGGAATGTGGGCCAAGCTGAGAGTCTGAGATGAGAGAAGTGGAGATGCTTATGCCAAGGCCAGACTTCCCAGGTGGACATGCAGTCTCTGGGAATGACCAAGATGTACAGTTGGTGAAAGGGGACTCAGAGCAGGGGAGTTTCTCAGACACAAACAAGATGGTCTGATTGCAGCCACAACCCAGCCCAATTAAACATGAAGTAATATGTCTTTAGTATATACAATAGGTAATGAGAATCTAGTTCTGGGGGAGGCTGTTCTACAGGATGTCTCTACTGCATAGATAGGTTTATTCCCAGCAGGGTAAGAATGAACCCAAGTGTGAAGCTCATTAATATGTTTATCTTAAGACCATCTCCTTTCAATGCTCTCGTGATAAGGTAATACCAGACCTGAAATTAACAGGACTGTACTTCATAGATCCTCCAGGGAGAGAGATACAAGAATTATTGTTTCTGATCCCTCTTGCGGCTCCTTCTCCCAAAAGCATGAAGCCCCAGCACTTGGTGGTGGCACTGCTGGTGAGCCTGGCCCAGCTGGTACTGCCTGGTCCTGAACCCCTCACTGGGCCAAGGTGCACCTATACCTTCATCTTGCCCCAGCAGAAGTTCACGGGGGCTGTGTGCTGGAGCAGCGTGCGACCTCCCCCAGAGCCCCTGCGCCTCAATCACAGTGAGGTGGAAGAGCTCCGCCACCAGCTGGGCCAGCAACAGGCCCAAATGGATGAACTGCGGCGAATGGTGGAGGTGGATGGGGCAGTGGTGAGCGAGGTCAAGGCGCTGCGCAAGGAGAGCCGCAATGTCAATGCCCGCGTCACCCAGCTCTATACTCAGTTGCTTCATGAGATCCTCCAGCGACGAGAGCGGCCAGTACAGACCTCCCAGCTGGAAGGGCGGGTGGCCAACGCCTCTGCCGAGGCCTTGCGTGTAGCTGCCAACTATCGCCAATTGGAGGGCAAGTACCTCGCCCTAGCTGCCCTGGTCAACAACCAGAGTGCCCTCATCAGCCGGCTGGAGAGGGAGTGCCAACAAGGAGCAAACGGCAGGATGCATCCACAGGTACTGGCCAGAGGGATCTGGGCATGCTTCCAGATGGGATTTGTATGCTGTGATTCCCTTGCCCTAGTCATAGAATTTGTTTGGGGGTGGGAGAGGCCATTACCTTCCATTTATAACCCTCCTGTGTTTTGCTACCAGTTCTTCCCTAATTTGCTTTCCACCCCACCCCACCTCAAAAAAGAATCCTTTAAGGGGGAAAGACAGACTAGCCATCTGCCTGAAAAGCACTCTGAGAAATAGGACTGGATGGAGAACAGTAGAGCAGAAGGAGCAGAGAAAAGTAATCTTGCCCAACCTGGTGCCTTCCAGATATATTGGAGTACAATTCTTAACTGACTGAGGATGCTGGGGGCTGTAATTCAACATATCTAGAAGGTACAATTTTGGGGAAGACTAGGCTACAGGCTTGTCAGGAGACAGTGACAGTTTTATAACCAAAGATGGGACCCAAACCTTCATGGAAGCTACCCTGTCTCCTCAGAGACCACTGCCCTTGGTAATATGGTTTAGTCCTTTCTGAGAACCACTGTTTGGTTTATACCACTTCAAGCTACACGAAGGGGCTAACATGACTTTCCTTATCGAAGACAGACAGACACACAATCCCACATATGAAAAATGAGCATATGAATGGGAAAAATCCATAAAGGAAGCCATGGCCTTGAACTTATTTGGAGGGCTTTCATTCACAGGGTCACCATAAGTCAGAGATGACTTGATGGCACATAACAAAAGTTGCCTTCCTGACACATTCATTTTCTATGCACAGGAAATTCCATCATGTAAGCATCCTCCTGCCCATGGACAGATATACATACAGTTTAAATTGGTATGGTCTGTGTTACCACTTCAGTGAGAGCTAGGCCATAGCTCTAAGAAGGATTTGCTTGGAGTAGAGAAGCCCCATGCTTGCCTTCCCCACCGCCCCAGGCCCAGCCTTAATAGTAGGCCAAGCAAAGCTTTCCCCACTCTCTGTCTGCAAATGCATGTCAGCCAGGAAAAAAAACCCAAAGTATTGCAAACACAGGAGCCCTGACAAAAAATACATGCTAACTCTATTCCACTTCCCATGTGGATAGCAGCTGCTGCTACAGAGACAGTCAGAGCCAGAGGAAAGGTGTCTCTCTTCAGTTGAAAGAAGATGTGATGTGGCGGCAGTGCTTTGAACCCTTTTAATGTGGCATTTGTTTTCAAGCCAGCAAATGCATGTTCCAATCCATGTGCTTCCACCACATCCAAACCAGTACATCTTCTCTTCACCCTTAGTCATGTGTCCCCCAGCACTTTGGTTTAGAAACGAGTATATACTCAGGCATGCAGTTGGCAGAAGGGTTGTTTTGATTCTATATTATATGGTCACATTTCACTTTCCTCCTCACCCTACCTACTGACATCGCCCCATTTACCTCTGGAACATTTGGTTTGCTCTCCTGAGCTGGCCCACAGCATGTGCAGGCAGGACTGGTGTCAAGGGCGGGCTGCTCTGGCACCCGCCAAGCGCCCGCCCCCCACGAGTGGGTGCGCTCCTCCGCTTCACCTGGCGGCCTGCGCGTTCCCTTGCCGTTCATTCTGAGCCAGCAGTGTTGGCGGAGGAGCTGGAGAGGAGGAGCGGCAGGAGAAGCCACGAGCTGTTTGTTTGCAGGCCGGCCGGCAGGCTGGCCAGCAGCAGCTATGATGAGAAAGAGGAGGATGGATCCGGCGGCGGGTGCCAGTGGTAGGGAGACAGTCGACTCTCTGGAGGGGCTCCCCGTAGCGGCGCGCCCGAGGGCCTGCGGTGCAGAAAGCCCAGAGCAGAAGCGCCCTTGGCCGTGGCCCCGCCCCTTTCCGCGAGCAGCCTCCCCCCGCCCGCCTCAAAGCCCAGTACAAGCTCCTGGAGTGGCGCTGGTGGTGTGAGCGGCCTCTCCTTTCTCCTCAGCCGCCCCTGGTGCCGGTGGTGCCGCACAACCCCGCAAGCATCGCCAACGAGACCAGGGGCCACTTCGATGCGGTCAACGACATCCAGCGAGACCAGACCGCGCCTGCGCAGCACTGGCCCCACAAGGCTTCAGCTGCCCCGGAAGGCTCCGCCCCGCCCCCTGCCGTTGCGCCCACCAAGTCCACAGGTGCGGCAGAGGTGGTCGCCGGGAAGCGCCCTGACGGGGACGGCGAGCGGCGCAACTCGGGACCACAGGGGGAGGCGGCTGGGACTTAACACAAGAACAGCTGGGGATGAAATTGTGGGAGGGACGGTTATTGATGTTCCTCTGTGTAAAACACTCCATTACATACATATTTAAAGGGAAGCATATACTCTACCTATGGGGTGTGCATTATTGGTTCCCATGGAGTGCTTATCCTCAGAAATAGCAACTGCACCCCATCTTGGGATTGCCTCATCTTTTAAGCAACCTCACTTTCTCTCCACCTCCTTCAAATTTAAGCTGCATTAGCTTCAAACTGTTTATCTGTCTCTGCCCTCAACAGCTGGAAGATATTTCTAAACACTGCCAGCAGTAGACTCTGAAAACGGAAGTGAGTTTGCCATTTGTTAAGACTGCTTCCTTATTATTTTCTCTCACTAATCATGTTGGGCTGTTAGCCAGCCGCCAGCTTAACTGTGAGCCTATTGAGGCATGTTAGGATGCTGTCAAATATCCCTGACAATACAGAACCAATTCACCAATTGAGCTTTGACCAATGTGGGAGAATAGACATAGTTTCTGCAATAGAACAACTTTGTTCTAATGTGTCCTCACCCCCACCCTGCAACCTGTTCTCCTGAATTTGCTCCAGGGGCCTCCTGCTTTTTTCCTGAAACATCTGTAGCCAGAGCAAAATAAAACTAATAAACAAAAGCACCTCACCCTGCACTTTGTTCTGTAGCACCCAATCCCCACCCCCACCCCAGCCTAGTATTAAAATTTGGCTGAACATCAAGCCACAGTTGCTGGAGGAAGGCCAATACTTTCCTGACAGTCTTTTGTAGCTGACGGGGAGCATTAAGCAAGAGTTCAGCCCCTGCCAAACATGCAGGAGGCTCCTGGTGTGGCAGAGACTGTCCAGTCCCTCTTCCCTGGATTCTTCCCCACCACAGAAGCATCTGCGGGCTGAGCTCAGAGGTATCTCTGCCAGGAGGCAAAATAGCACAACAGGTGGCCCTAGCCTCCCAGCTGAGATGTGCTTTTTAAAAAGGAGCGCACTGTGCACTCCAATTCCTAATACCTCACTTTTATCTTCCTGGCATAGGGCCTTGGCATGACTGTCAAGCAGCTCAACAGGATGGGCAGCCCACTGGCATCACCATGCTGCAACCAACTGGTGCCTGGGGCATCTTCCAGGTTTGGTGTGACCAGGAGTATGATGGGGGCGGTTGGACTGTCATCCAGCGGCGACAGGATGGGTCGGTCAATTTCTTTATCACCTGGCAGCACTACAAGGTATGAAGAGGTGGCTCTGGGTGGAAAGCAAAGGGGCCCCAATCTTGGGGCTCAGGTGGAATGCAAAGAGCTATGGAATAGAAGTTCACTTGAATTTACAAGTCTGACAAGTAAGAACCCATGTCTGGGCTGGAAACTGAAGCAAACAGTCATGTGCAGCGGTGCTACAAGCAAAGAGGCATAAGATGGGTGCTGAGCCTTCAGTCCCATTATCACACAAGGCCCAAGTGGCAAGGACAGACAGAAAGACACCTGGGTGAGAATAGCTTAACCAGATGTGCCAAGGCACAGGTCTGTAGTGTGTCTGTGGTTCAAGGAGCTGGAAGAAGAGTTGACTCTAGCGATTCTGCCAAGGAGCAGAATTGGTGACACAAGAGTTACTCCTTGAGGGGTCAAACAGCAGAAGCTTATCCCAGAGGCACAGACTGAGTCTGGTTATGTGAGAAAGAGATGGTACTGAACCTGGGTGGCAGGCACTGGCGGTGAATGCCGAGGTGTCATGATTTAAACGGCTGAGGGTGCGCGTGTTTAAATGGATTCTCCCCACAGAGAGATTCCAGTAGTCTAGGCAAGAGAGCTGTAACTGCCCTGATTGGTAGGGGACCAGAAAGCCTAATCACACATTCTTCTTCCCTGCTTCCTCAGAGTGGGGGTGGAGAATGGGTAGCCTTGATCCACCACTGCTCCCATCAGCACCCAAGCAACAGGGCCAATGATCAGAAATGGTAGCTGCTACATGGTGCTTCCAGACAGACAGTTCTTAGAGCCAGCAACCAGGGGCCTCATGCCACTGCTCCACAATTTTCTCCCAGGCAGATTTTCTCAAAGAAGGAAAAAGATGGAAGCAGCGCTAAGAAAATGTGGGAGGGTCATGAATGGAAAGTGGCACATTCTGGGATCCCTGGAGCCTTCTGTGGCAGTGGCGCCATAAAAGCCTCACTGGGAAGTCCTCCTCATCTGAGATCAGGAGAGCCCCGGGTTACCTATGCCATTTCTGAGCCAGTACCAGCCTGCTGATACATCACCTCCTGTGTCTCCTTAGAATGGCTTTGGGAACTTGGAAGGTGAGCACTGGCTCGGGCTGGAGTCCATCCACTGGTTGACACGCCAGGGTTCATATGTGCTGCGGGTGTGGATGGAAGACTGGAGTGGCAGACAGGTTCATGCTGAATACGACACCTTTGCCCTGGAACCCGAGAGTGATTTCTATCGACTGAGGCTGGGGCGATATCAAGGCAATGCAGGTGACTCGCTCTCCTGGCACAACGGCCGACAGTTCAGCACGCTCGATCGGGATCATGATGCTTACTCAGGTAAGAGAGCACATGGGCCAGACGTGGAGAGACAACTATGCAGGAACAGTGAGAATCAGACAGAAGATGATGCTCATTCTGGATGTTTTTATCCTTGGTTTGGTCCCAGGAAGTCAGATTGGCGTGTGCAGCTCTTCTCCATGTCTCTGCACAAAACCTCTGCAGGAAGGTCATGTCATATAGAGACTAGTTTAAGGTTAACTCAAGAGATTTGTGGTTGCAGTGGGGAATCATAATTTTGGATCCCCAGCCACATCATGAAAACATAGGAACCAGCAATATAAACATATCCATAAGCATGAAGCATGAGCACAGGGTGGAGTCCTATGAAGAAGAATAAGGAGTCTACATTATTTTTTGTACATGGCACAAACTTTTTTGTCTGTCTGTCTGTCTGTCTGTCTGTCTCTGCTTTTATTTATTTGATTTATACCCCCCCTACCAAAAATGGCACTCAAGGCAACTTACAACAATTTAAAATAGACCAAAACAATGAATCACACTGAAGTACAATAATGTGTACAACAATGCATACAATAAAACATATTAACATACAATAAGGATAATAAACAATAGCAGCAGAATAAAAGCAACACCCAAGCCTCAGTCCCTGTTGAATAAAGTGGTCCTTGCCTCTCATTGGAAGAAGAGCAGAGAGGGAGCAAACCTGTCTGCCTTGGGATGAAGTTGTACAGTCTGGGAACAGCCACTAAAAGGCCCTCTCTTGCATCATCATCAGATGTGCCCCTGAGGATGGTCATCTCAACAGACAGGTTCCTCCAGCTTTTAAGGATAGACTAGGCTCATATGGGAGGCAGTGTTCTTTTGGTAGCTTTGTCAAAAGCTGTACACGGCTGCATAGGCCACAGCCATTTTGAATTCTGCCTGAAAACAAATTAGTAGCCAGTGAAGCTGCTGTGTGTAACACACTACCCAGTCAACCATCTGGCCACGGCATTTTGGACGAGCTAAAGTTCCTGAGCAGTTTGCAAAGGCAGTCCCATGCAGAGTAGGTTACAGTAGTCCAAAAAGCATGTTAACTAAAGCAAGTATGTCTGCATCCAGACCATACCTCTCTGGGAACACTCCTGGCCATCACAAAGAGTTAGGTCCAGGACCTAGTCCAAGAGTCTGCCCGCACTGCTTCAATGTAAAACCTAAGCTGGATAGATGACATGTTCACTTTAAAATGCTGAAATCTGTATTAGGGCAATACCTTTATCAGGGCAAGTTAGTGGTCACAGAGGAGTGTGCCTCTGGGGGCTGTTGTGGTATGTGTGAACTTGCTCACTATTGTCCCTCATATTTGCACAATGCATGCAGCATCGCAAAGAATCTAGTCTAGAATATTGTTGTATGGTTTAGTGGTTTACCTTTACAGTTTACCTTTAATGTGGTTTGCTTCAATGCTGTCCACTGGTTTCATTTCTAATTGCAAAATGATGATTGTTACTTGTTTCCCATTTCCCCGAGCAGTGAGGCCTACAATAATGTTAGGAGGATTCATTTCCTTTGAATGAAAAAGCACTGAGGCCCTAGGACATGGGTCCTCAAACTACAGCCCGCAGGATGGATCCGGCCTGCCATGGCCATCCATCCGGCCTGCGCTGCCGTTCGCTGCCCACGCGCGCACTTGCTGCACAGGCGGGGAAGTGGTGGCTTGCTCGCTCAGGGATGGTCTCTGAGTGAGCAAGCCACCGCTGCCCATATGCGTGCGTTCGCTGCCGCCTCACAGCGTGGGGAGGTGGTGGCTCGTTCAAGCGGAGATGGTCTCTGAGCGAGCAAGCCGCTGCCACCACCTGCCTCCCGTACACACACACTTCCCACTGCCTCATAGCGCAGGGAGCGGGGGAGGTGGTGGCTCGCTCTATTGGAGATGGTCTCCGAGCGAGCGAGCGAGCTGCTGCCACCACCACCTGCCTCCCGTATGCACATGGGGGTAGGTGGTGCACGCACAGCGTGGGGATGGGGGGAAGTGGTGGCTCGCTCAATTGGAGATGGTCTCTGGCCCCCTATCGAAAAGGTTTGGGGACCCCTGCCCTAGGAGGTCATTGCAATATTTGTTTGTTTACAAAATATACAAATGGAACATAGATAAAACCTATGGAGGCACGGATGCATATCTCCCTGTAAAAAGATTGTGGCAAGCCCGTCAGGGAATGCCTTCTCAAAAGAACCAGAATGTCAAAAACTCTCGTACAAGAGGTTTGGCTTGTACTTGCCCACCTTCCTGAGCACCGAGAATCTTGGAGAAAGGTGAAAAAGTAAGATGGCCCTTGGAGGAGCCAAGTCAAAACTGAGGCTGGCCACCCACTTCTCATGAATGAAGATTACTTACAGATTTAATTTCTCCTGACAGCTTGTCTTTTGACTGCTTAAAAAAATAAAGTCAAAAATAAGGCTTCACGTCTATAAGCCACTTTAAACATTGTTGATTAGGCAGAATGCAGAAATAAATACGTAAATATCTCCACTTTCTCCCAAGAAATCACTGAAAACATTGTTTGTGAGGATAATGAGCATTCTCAGTTTGAAACCCAGACAGCCAATCTCAAAGGTTGCCCTAGAAGTGTTACTAAAAACAATTCTCAGCAAATAGAAGCACAGACTGCACAGCTGCAGCCTTCAAATTCTCCTGTGATGTCAAGCTGATTCTAATGGCACCTGTTATCAGTGTTCGGTGATCAGTTCTTCGGTCCCCTCCCATCTTCTTTTCCTGCAGGGAATTGTGCCCACTACCAGAAAGGCGGTTGGTGGTACAACATGTGTGCTCATTCAAACCTCAATGGTGTCTGGTACAAGGGAGGGCACTACCGGAACCGCTATCAAGATGGTGTCTACTGGGCTGAGTTTCACGGTGGTGCCTACTCACTCCGTAAAGTGGCAATGATGATCCGGTCCACAAAAAGTACCTAATTTCTACTCGTGGGGGTAAGCAAAGACATACACCAATGCAGAGTCCAGACATACTTAAAAAACAGAGTCGTAGGGCTCTGGCAACACCCTACCATGTTTTTGTCAGCTATGTAGTCACCTCTCAGGGGCTGCCCTCTAAGGAAACTCTGGTAATACTACACTGATTGGCTGGGCGGCTGTACCATCACAAACCTGCCTACTCCCTTCTACTGTCCCTGGAACAGTTTTTCAGCTTTAAAAAATTGTTGTTTGATTAATGTAAATAATTAATGCAGCAACTTAAACAACTATAAACAGATGCATAGCCTGCTTGAAAGATGGGGAAAGAGAAAAGTTGAACAGGAAATTAATGTAAGGGTGTTGTTCACAGCATGAAAGCTGGGCAGGGAGGAGATTAGGTTCACAATCAATTTGGCATGTATATCTTCATTCTCCATAGTGTAGGCCTAGTTCAAATACAACAAAACATGGTTTGTTGTGACATGCATGAACTGACACAATCCTTGGGCTTGTGTGTTCCCCACTCCCCCTCACAGACAAGGCAAATTTCAGACTTCTGCTCCTCATTAGAACCAAGTCATAGCTTGTCCAAATTTTGAAAATGGTGGTTTTTTCAAACCATGATTTGTTATCAAACCAGAATAATGATTTGTTCTTGAATCCAGCCATGCTCATGCACATACATTATGAAGGGAAGACCCCTGATGAGACTGAAACAGAGACACCATCTGGACTGAGACGTCTTAATACAGGCAGCAAGGCTGCAGCATTTCAAGCATATCAGCCAAAGCATTGTCAGCACTACTCTGGCACTGCACAGGAGGGGTGTTCACTTCTTGAGAAGAACAGGGCTCGAGCCCACCAAGTTCTGGGAGCAACCCTGATGCTGAAATGGTACAGCTGAAATATTTGGACCCAGGAGTGTGTATACTTTACAAACACACTGTTGTAGATAAGAAATCTAATCTGAACTGACTTGAGAAAAAAAAACTTTCTACCCTACATTTCACAAATGGAAATCCAAGGCACAGCTGAACAAAACAGGCCCTTCTTTCAACATTGGTTTTAGACACCCTGATATAACCATGCAATGAAATGTGGGCTGTTTTGTGCAATCCAGCAGTTTTTGCCTTCTTTGTAAATAAGTGTTGCACCAACTGCCGCATGTTTAAGGTTAATTATTGAAGGGATGTTTCTGATAACAGGTATATATTTTGCAATATCTCTGTAGTGGCTGAGGCAATTCATGTTCTGTAGCCTCTACTTTCCAAATAGCAATTCTGCACGAAAGAAAGTAAAATCCTGAAACTAAAATATACCAATCCCATAAATGAAGACAATTGTATTTGTTTTGCTTTTGTTCACATATTGTTCATGTTCTTTTGTCCCACGTTCTCTGACAAGGAAATCTTACATGCTGTTCTCAAAATACAGTATGCAAATCTGCAATTAATTCAAATTTGCTCAGCATGCTTTTTTAAATTCTGCGCTTCTGCAGAGTTATTCCCGTTGTGGAAATCCCAGTTTTGAGAAGCCACACAGTAGCTGAGCCTCTTGAACGAGTATTTACAGATCTTCCCCCTAATTCAGGGAAGAGCTGCAGGGCAAATGCTGGCTTCTGCAGTATCACTCTACCTGCATGAACAGCCATGTGTACAATCAGGTGCTGTGGATCCAGCTCCTTCCCTGAGCCAGCTCCTGGTCTTGTACAGATAGAGCCCTGTCAGACTGCATTGCTCAGAAAACTGTTGTGCTGGAATAACCCAAGTTGTGAGGCAGGTTCAAGTCCCACCCCTGCCACTAGGTGGCCAAACTGGTTTACAATCTTGCATGTGCTATATAAGCATTAGTTTTACTTAATCCAAGGGTGGGAAACTGGGAATTGATTCTGGAGAAGAATTGCCTTAGACCAAAATAGAGGCTGTTTGACATCAGGGTTTACAAAAGCTGAGCAGGTCAAATATTCCTGAGGACATTCATTTATAGGATTGCCTTTAAGTAAAAGAGGATTTGATGGCACATAACAAGAATAAACTGCCTTGGGGGCACTCTACCCCCAGAGCCCTGTCCCCTGATCTAATCTGCCTCCATCCTCAGTAGAGAGAGGAGAGGCAAGAGGCAGTTGCTCTAGGCTTCTCTCTACACGGAGAAAGGGACCCAGAGGCCAGCTTTGCCCATCCCTCATTATTCATGGGGAGACTTGGAGAAAGCAACTGCACCCTCAGCCACAACCTGGAGGAATGGCTCTGCAGGTGTCAGCTGAGTCCACAGCTGGCTTCACTCTTCTTTCACCAACCCCGTCAGAAAGGTGAAGAAGAATTAACACTGGTGTCCTGAGGCACTGGCTGAAACCCCAGTGGACTTTGTGCCCTATTCACCAACAAGAGAAAGTACACAGCAGTTTGGGGGGGGGGGGCTGTGTGCATAGCAGATTTTGCCCCTTCTAGGATTGGAGGAAATCTCTGCTTAAGCCTTGAGGTCCAGGAGGGCCATCATGGTAGTTCCCATGACTGATTTAATATCAGTGATCCCATCAGCTACCAGTTCAGAGCACAGCCATGGGGGTGGATTTGGTTTCCCTGTTCCCGCTCTGTGTCATGCTGCAGTTGATGATGAAAAAGCACTGCCTTATGTCAGGCCAGATTATTTGTCCATCCTACCTAATCTTATCTGTTTTGACAGGCAACCATCACAAGCCTCCTGATGAGGTCTTTTCTATCACCTGGTAGCAGTTGCTCCTCACTGAACATGCTACAGACTGAACCTTTGATGTCAGCCTCTGATATGGGAACATGGATGTTCAAAACAAGCGTCCTGTTCCTAAGCTATTGCCCCATCCGTAAAGCAGCTTATACATATCCTATTTAAACCTGAGCTGCTGCCTAGTGTCTATAATTTCAGGATCAGAAGTTCAGATCTTGCATGCTTCTAGGCACCCTCCCAGCTGGTTCTCCCCAGCACAGACAAGTTGTTGGATCAATCTGATATGAATTGCAGCTGACCAACTGACCTGTAGAAATGAGACATCTCAATAGGAAAACCTATCATTTTAATTTCCAGCTTTTGTTGTTGCTGTTTAGAGAGGTGTTGCTATTCATCACAGCAAGAAAGAACACCATCAAGTTCATCTTATACATTAACACTTGGTAGAAAATGCATCTCCACAAATGAAAGAAAGCTCAACATAAATCGGAATGCTTTCAACTTGGATATCAGACTATTAAGATCACACATATGCTCACATATGCAAGGCATTGTATACGGTAGGCACTAATATGACTCCCTAAGAGCGAGGCTAGTAGCACACAAATGCTGCATCAGCTATTTGCTTGTTTATAAAAGCTGTTGTTTGACTTTAAACCCCGAGTGCAATTTCCAGCAATAAAATCTCAAAATTCAAGAGAGATTCTAATAAAACTGCCCTTCATGTTCACATGTGACAGATTTGGATTCTCTGAACAGGACTGTAACTGGAGCATTGGTACACATAATAGTGCTTCTCCAACTCCCCCATTTCTGATTTTTGGTCCCAAGAGATTATTGTGGTTAGTCTGCCTGCCCTTTGAGGTAGGTGACTTCCACCAGAGGAAAGGCTCTGCTTAGTCGAGGTCCCTCAGCCTGGTTTTAGGAGATTCCCTGCTCTATACTCCACTGTTAACCTGTTCAGTGGTGTCTCCTGAGTCTTCAGGAGAAACCACTTCTAGCAGTGCAGTTGATCCCATGTAATTCTGAATCAAACTTGGTCTTTGGCTGACTGCTAGTTGTTGCATCACCCCACTAACCTATGTTTTCCAAATGGCTAAAAGGAACCTTTGATTTCTTGCCACACTAGCTTGAGGAGAGAAACATCCAAGCACGTTCTTGCTGCAAGTTCTCTGAGGAGAAAGGCATCATCATCCACCTAAAGCAGCAATAAACACTCCCCAGAAAAGCAACTTGGCCCCTCACCTTGTCATCTTGCCAGTTTGGCTGGTTTTCAAAGAGCTGAAGTCACGTGCCTCTTCCCTAACTGCAAGTCCATCCAGTGTGAGCTGCACTATGGACACAAGCCCAGCAGAAACTCACCCTGTAGCACACAATCCTCTCATTCCAGCTGCACACCACTCTTTGGAGAGTAGCTGGAAGATCGTGCTGGACAGCACGTAAACATGTCGTGTTTGATTTTTTTAAGGTCGATTTGACGATCAGAAGTTTAGACCGTGTCAAGTTCCCCATGCAACCAATAGAAGGTGTCAAGGAGGGCTTGGACCGGACAGAAGGGGCATATCTGCACCATTAGCTTGTGCTGGATTTAGACCAAAGAATCTAGAGAAGTGTAGCTTGAAGGTGCTCAGACTGCTGGGTTGCAAGAGACTACTAGGTCTCAATCATACACAATCTCACAGACTAGCAATTTTTTCTGAGGATAAGAAAAAAGCAAGTTTTTTCAAATTGCTATCAAGAGCAATTTAAACCTGTGGTTTCATTACATCTGAAAGATATGCTCTTTGGAGCGGAAATCGGTAATAGGCAACAAAGCCCAGGAAAAGCCACCTTGAGAAAGAGGTCTAGAAAGGATTACTGAGTGGGTCCAGGCATGAAGGACTGCCATTCATGCCTGCTAGTAGAATTAGCAGACCCCCGAGCCTCATGGAATACGAAGACCATTCCCTCCCTGTCCACCACAACTTGCACTTCAACTCCCCCGACCTACTCTGGGCATCCAGGCATTAATTGCTGCTCCTGCCATCCTCTTCTTCATCTTCTTCTTTCAGATCTTCCAGGATGAGCTCATCGACGTCCCAGCATGCCAAGCTGCCTTGGCTTAAGCAGGTGGCCACTGTGGAGCCGGTACTGTCATGCACTTGGCTGGGGCAGATCACTTTGGGCAAGCCATTCTTGGCCCGGCTTCGAGGATGCACACAGTGGGTTCCGGGTATGTGGGGCTCTGCAGGAGAGGAAGGGACACCAGCTGATTTGGGCAAGCACATCCGCAACCCACTTCTCCAGGATGAATGTGGAGGATCTGTTTTGTTGGAATGGCCCCAGCCACACATTAATTCCCCACCCAGCTGGCAGTGTGATTGTCTCCCAACTCGCACAAATCATTTCTGTGCTCACACTGGGCTACCAGTGCAAGATTGATGCTAGTGCCAAGAGGTAGCAGCAAAGAGAAAAGTCCTCTAAAAAAAATAATCTGCACATCATCCCATTTCGCTCAAACATGAGCAGGAAATGTATTTTGTAAAGAGAAGAAGGCAAATACACCAGGAAGGTGCTTTTTCCCCCAGCCAAAGGCCATGGCTGAGCTGGCAAAGTATTTTGTTTTTTTATAAAAATCAACACAAGATTTTCAACTCCCATTTCTGCAAACAGAAATTGGGCACTACTTACCATCTCACCCAAAGACTCCACACATGCATGGCAGGAGCCTTCTCACCTGGAAGAGACCCATGGTTTTGCAGTTCTTAATTGTGGCACATACCTCTTCGGTTGTAGCAATCCTCTGCAAAGCAGGAGTGCTGTTGCCTGCCTCGTGGCCCTGGGGTCTTGCGAGGTGGAATGATACAGCTTGGGTATACTGGGGTATGGCAACTGTAGCAGGGAGATGGAGTTCCCATCTGGCCTGATCCCCTGCAGAGAGAGGGCAGGAGTTCCTTTATTCATTATTTCTGCCACATTCTGATCTCCTACACTTTTTATTAGGGGTTTTTTTTTTACAGCTCTCTCTGGAAAACCATTACATACAGAGAACATAACACAAAATGGCAAGAAATTCATTTAATGTGCAATAGCTATATGGTATGGCTTCATATACTTCACTTCGCAAGCCTGTAAGAAACTCCAGAGTCATGCTATTAGGTGAAGGCAGGAGATGAATGGAGCTGTCATGGACAAGATGGCTTTCCTTCATGGGGTGCCACAAGTCAGAGACAACAAGCTATTGGGTTTAGATTCCTTATAGTGTCTTGTACATTGACAAATAAACAAGCAGAGCCTATTTGAAGTGAGTAGATTCCCCAAAAGCGGGAGTAGATGCCCAGAAAGCAAACTGCAATTTCCCCACAAGGCTGCACTTCTTGTTACCTAACTTGAGCTAGACATTCTCAGTGCACAATCTTTTCCAATAGCAAACTACTTCTTCTGTTCCCCTCGACTGGAAGGATGTTGCCAGCTCAGTTTCCAAAAGCTTGACAGAAATTTTCAGTTATTAGGAGACCACCTTCTGTCATTTGCTCCCATTAATGAAATGATAAATTATCCTGGGCTATTAGCCATCCATCAGAGCAACAAAGTATGAGCAACCTTAACACCAGTATTCAGTTCAGTAGATTTATCATATACAATTATAACAGGTTTTCCAGGCCTACTTCCATATAGTTTGGAATGGCGAATGTAGGTACTAAAGCCCTTGGTCCCAGACTCACAGTTCTTGTCTCTCACCTGAAGGTGCGCCCACATGCAGTACAGCTGAACTCTGCTATGCCCCACATTTTGTTGAAAGGCACTGGGTCATAGCGAACTTTGCACCAGGGGCAACGGGACACCTGTGGAGAGCATCAAAGTAGCAGATTAGCAGGCACCAAAACCCCAGCAATGATCCACCCTACCTGGGCACAGCAAAGGTCAACTAGAGGTGGCAACAGCAGAGTCCTGCAGAGTCTCTAGAGCAGAGTGTTGGCAGGGGTGCAGCCCTGAAACTACTTCATCCCTGCCATTTCTTTAAGGGCAGTGTTTGTTTCTATATTCTGAGCTCTACTGAGAGAAAATATGGCAGGCTGGAGTCATCATGAGGTAAGAAATGGAAAGCAGGGGCGTGGAAAGGATTGACACATGCCCATGCTACGTTTTCTGCCTTCCACACAACACCACATCAACACCCCACCCCCACTCTCACCCCAGTTTTTAAAAAGGCCTTTACCCTTTATATAGATTTGATGACAGACAAGTCATCTTGTGGGCAACAGGCTAAACATGATCCAACAATGCGATGTGGCCGCAAAACGGGCAAATACTATTTTGGGATGTATTATCGTAAGTATTACTTCCAAATCATGAGAAGTAATAGTTCCCCTATCCTCTACACTAGTCAGACCTCATCTAGAATACTGTGTCCAGTTCCGTAGGATATGGAATAATCATGTTGCGACAAACCAGCTTCAGGCTAGATATCAAGAAAAGCTTCCTCACCGTCAGAGCAATATGCCAGTGGAACCAGCTGTCTAGAGAGGTGGTGGGCTCTCCCACACCAGCAACATTCAGAAAGAAACTGGACAGTCATCTGAGTGGGATGGTATCAATTGGAGTCCTGCAACAGCAGGGGGCTGGACCCACTGGCCTTCTTGGTCCCTTCCAACTCTGCTAGTCTTTGATTCTATGAAGTTTCAACACAGGCCAGCCACCATCAGCAGGAAACAGGAACAGGTAGCCCTCCTGATGTTGTTGAACTACAGCTCCCATCAATCCCGGCCTACACAGCCTTTGGTGATGAATAGTGGAAACTGCTGAACATCGACGTCTGCAGGGTCATATATTCCCTATTCCTGATCTTGAAAACAATTTTAGCTTTCAAATGGGAGTTGGGAGATAACAGAAAGGAGAAAGAATTGGGACAGACAAGAGTAGCTAAAGAGAATATCCAGGTAAGACACCCATCTTTCTTGGAGCATCCACTCAAAAGGCCAACTTGTGGCCCAATCCAACCCCTTTAGGACTGTTCTGATGCATGCGTGTGTACACACCCACCTGTTTTCTCTCAGGGACTCGACGCCACCACATCCTGTCACAGCCCTGGCAGGAAAACTGGTGATCAACAGGGGGGATGCGGTTGTTTTGGGCATTAGTGAACATGCACAGATTCTCCTCTGTCAGAGGCAAGACCTTTAGCTGCTGAGCAACTTCCTGGAGAGAGTAAACAGGATGTGTGAGGCTGCAATCTTGTGGGTTTCTAGTGTCTTGCAGTTTCCCTCCAAAAGGTGAAAAGGTGTAGAGTACCCTGCACCTTGCCACAGATTAAGCTCCTTCCCATGCCTTCCCAAATTGTGCAAGTGTTACTGAGAAAAAGAGTGAGAAAAGGCAGGTGTGGGGGGAAAGAAAGGACAAATTTGTTAGTCCCATTCCTCCTAATGGGCCTGGATGGGTCCCGGCCATCTTGGAGAGGGAAAAGGAAGTGGGTTAGAGTTCCCCTGGGAACAGCTCGTGGAGGGCAAGGTGCAACCATGCAGCTTGAGAGGTAAAACAGTCCTTTCTATTGCTTTTTAGAACAAATTGATATACTGATTCATGCAGCTGCTCATAGATGACCTTATGGAATGCAATCTAGACAAAGGGAAGCAGACTGTGAGTCCTTCCTGATGAGGCCTTTTATAAGCCCATCACTGGGTCTCATTCACAGAATTTTGAAAGGAGTCTATCCAGTTAAGATAGCTTTGCCAGAGCCGATACCATTGATCTGGGTGCTCTGATACTGAGTAGGTACTAAGAACTGTCATCTGAAATGGGGACTTTGGGGACTTCTTACAAGTTCATATGTCAGGCAGGAACCCAAAGGGTGCAGCAGTACTCCAAGTAATGTTTTATTTGTATGGAAATTATGTTGCACTTTCCTCCTACTTCACTTGCCTTAAGCTTGGTGAAACCTCCCTTGGCTTCATCCCAAACTGTCTAGAAGCATTATGATTAGGGATGAGGAATGGAGTCCCTTGCGCACCTTGGAGTCAGCATTCCTCTTTGAATTCTCAAGCAGTGGGAAGCTTTCTGGGCTCGGGGCAAATGCAGTTCGGGTTCAGCAGAGAGCAATGCATGGGCTAGCTGGAGCCAATTTGTGCCTGAGACCGGCTGGGTTTGGCACTGCCAGTCGCTCTCCTCTCCTGCTCTGTGAGCAGCAGCACTCACTTGTTCTCAAGCTACCAGGGTGGATATGACAGCTGATCTGCACAAGACCAGCAGAAGGCCATGGGAGCTACATCTCAAAACTAGAAGGAAGAGCAGGAGGAGAAGGAAGAGGAGAAGGAGTTGTCTTGTGACATCCTGAAGATGAACAGATTATGGCAAAAGCTTTCATGGAAAAGGGTCCATCACATACCATGTATACAGTATTATCCTAGGCTGGCAGATTTATATTCAGGTATAAAAACAGAAAATAAAATAGTGACTCCACATGGAAGCAAAGTGAAAATACAGTATGTGACAATTACTTTGGCACAGTAACTTTTCACATCCTAACTATGCTAAGGACTGGTAATAAACATCCTAGTTTTGCTAAGTCAATTAACATTTGTAGGTGGATAAAAATCTGCTATCTCAGTTGAAATATAGCTGCCAACTTTGCACGTGTGATGAAGCTGACTCTAGTTCTCAAAGGCTTATGCCGTAATAAACATATTCATCTCGAATGTGCCACAAGATTGGTTTTTGCTACAAAAGATTAATGCTTCAACCTCTCTGGAAACAATCACAAAACTGGTTCAGCCCCACATGACTGTGCATATCCCAAATGGTTTAATTCAGATTCTTTATCCTTTATCATGCTGGGAGTTAACGTGTGACTGAAATGAAGTTGTGATTGTCTGTTCATAGTCCCTGCACTAGCCAAAGGAGGCACTGTCTTGTTAACAATTAATTTGCACAGAATACCAAGCCATGCCCTTGTCAATATGGTGGCTTTTCATTTTCCCTCTCCCCTCGTTCTCCCCCAGCCTATGGTTCTGCCACAACAGCCCAAACCTGTTTCTACTCTCACCATGATTTTATCATCATTCTTCGCATCTGGTTTCTGTAAAAAGAAGAAATAAAGGGTTGATGCACACAATTGTTAACTTCATCAGTGGGTGTTGCTGGGGTACTGAAAGACAGTCTGAGCATATCCATCCCAAATGCTCTGTTTATAAATCCTCATAGTTTCCCTGTGTCATCTGACAGAGCATCCTTTTCCAGCTTAGTTCATGCCAGATGAACTGACTGTGACCCCCCCAGCATTCCTGGCTATTTGTCCACACTGGCTGGGGCTGAGGGATGTTGGAAGTCCAAAATATCAGAAAGGTCCCAGGTTGGGGAAGGCTGCTATAGAACCAAGAACAGGGTTTTTTTTTTAAAGCACAGGGCTAATGCTGAAATGTTTGCACGTATGCACACATACAACATATTTCATAAATCAGCATGAGCATTTAAGTGAATATACCTTTGTAACTTCTACTGAAATGTTAAGCAGCTTATTCTTCCTTTGCATCTTGTCCACCACTCTGCCCCAACTTTCTTTTTTTACCTGTCATCTCTTCCTCTATTTTTTAAAATATTTCTTTCAATTCAACAACTAAGAAAATGGAAGTTGTGCCACTGCTATGAACCAGCTTTGGTGCAACCCACTTGTGGGTCCTCCTGACCCACTGAATACTAATATAATGTGGAGTTAAAAGCTGCATTGCTTTCTGAAATTCTTACAAAAGTGGTAGGCATTTTCAGAGTGAGGCTTGGCGGACAAGATGAAAGCATTTGGATGATCCTATCTTGGCTTAATATGCCAAGTTGTGAATAAGCCTTTTGCCTCTGCATGCAGTTTCTCCACTTTTCCCTTCAGGTAAACTAGCCAGGAATACTTCAGTTGGCAATAGTTTCCTATTTTTTTTCCAAACTGGGAAACTGGTTAATATCAGCCTTAGAACAGGGCAGGATATGAGAAGAACTTCAGCTCATTTAATATCCTGGCTCATATCAAAGTTGTCATCATTGCACACACAATCAGTCCAAGGATGGTGGTGGTGCTTGAGCTGGAAAATCCACAGGTGTCTTCCCTTCCCCTAATGATTATGGTCACAATCCTCCAGGAAGTTAGTTCTCTTACACAGGCCTGGCAGCTCTTTCCCTCCAGAGGTTTTCTTTTCTTTGAGAGTAGTGCTGCACTTGCCACTTCTGACCACCATCCCCATCCCCTGCCAACACAGGGGCAGGGGCTAACGGTGTGCGAAGCCCTTTGGACTTGCCGAACAAACCACCTGATATTCTCTTCAATGCAACATGCCAGAAGGCGGATAGCACTTCCCAGCAATTACCAAGCACTTTCTGTTTTTCCACCTGGAAGTGGCAAAGAGGTCCTTTGAGGCTTGTCCAAGTTATGTCCTATTTTGTTTCATTAAAAGTTAAGAAGCATCTCTGTTGGCAAGTGCAACCAATCATAGGGAGAGATGAAAAATACGTCAGGGAAATAAGCTCCACAAAGTGGCACCTCCCCCTCCCCTCCCCCTCCTCCCTTAATCACCTTTTTCTTCAGCTCTTCCAGCTTTAGCTTATTCAGCACCTTCTAAAAGAAGAGAAAAAGTGTTGGAAGTGGCTCGCCAACGGCAAGACGGGATGGCCATATTGGATCCATCAAGTATGAGATACACATACACATAGATATGGTAACATCTTTTACCAACTTAAGGGCTTCTCTACATGAGCTAACCCACTGCCGGCTGGGGGCTCTTCCTTCTGACCTTGCTGCAGAGGAAAATGCATCCTTTCTATGGGGCTTCTTCTGAGGGTTTATATGTCTCAGCCTTTCTATACATGCAATTGCCAACCACAGGGTGGCAATGTGGTATAACTGCTGTATAGTAGGCTTTTGTCTTTTCACAAAGCTTTTATTCCAGTTTGTCATGGTTTAAAATTTGAGCCGATTTTCCTTGCTCCCCAAAAACAAAACGAAACGAGACAAAATGAAACAACCCTGTGAAAAAGAATGGAGTAGTTGGGAGAGAGGACAATGGAGGACAACGACACCATGAAAAGGTCCTGCACCATAAAAAGGTCCTGCAAGTTCACGAGTGCACCCTAAATACCTCATGTAGAGTCCACATGAGAATACACACACATGCAAGTTAAAGCAAACGCTTCATAGCCTAAAGTGTCCGATCCTGCCTAATTTTGGAAGCTAAGCAGGGTTGGATCTGGATGAAATATGGATGGGTGACTTAAAATGTTGTGAACCACCCAGAGTGATTTGGGCATGGGCAGTATAGAAATGTAATGAATAATAATGATACTAGGGAATGCAGGGAAGGCAGCCACATTTTCAATAACATAGGGCTAGTATTAAAATGGGTCAACTCTGGCGGTTAAATAATTTCCCCACTCCCTGCTTCCCACATCAACCCTTCTAGCCCCTTGGGAATGATATAAGGGAACTTAAGTGATCCTGCTGAATGGGATAAGCTGCCGGGGGAGTGGGGGGAGCCGCCTAGGGATGCCGTTGGTGGAAGAGGCAGCATGTGGCTATTTTAAATAAATAAATATGTGTGGAAAAGGAGGGCTCCACAAATTTCAGCTGGAGGGCCTTCCATGAGCAGAACCCCTCTTGTGGAAGGCAGATCCTGGATTCAACTCATTTACTTTAGTGGGGGCCAAAGCCCCCCAGTGAGAAGAAGGACCATCTTCTTGCTGCATTCCCCTCCATTTCCCTGCCTTCCCTACAAGCAATGATTGATTGTTAAGTGCCCATCTCAGACTTAGCTGTATTCTTAGTTACACCCACATATTTTAATGGTCTGGCTCAATACGGGGGCACATCTACTTTGCCCCAAAGTAGAAACATGAAGCTGTCTTTGGAAGTGCAAGGCACTGCGTGATGTGAACTTGCACCCCATCACAGGATGGAGCTGGGACAGCTCAGCAGGGGAGTTTCATTTAATAAACCTTTAGGATGTTGGAGTTGTTTCTATTTATAGTTTGCCCGATCCAAAATAATTGGAGGAATATTTAAAATGAAAACACATAAACAAACAAGAGAAGAGATTAAAATGTAGAGGAAATATCTGGCACCAGTGTCTACTGAGTGCCTGCAATCTTGTGCCACTGACATAAAATGGCAGTAAAATTCCAGACAACTTCCCAGTTAACAATTAACAGATGCACTGTGAAATTCCCGAGGCTTTAGTGATAGAAACATAGAAACAGAGTGAGTCAGAAGGAGTCTCCCAGGCCATCTAGACTGACCCCCGGCTCCACTCACATGCCTACCATGTGCATGTCCAGCCTATCTTTGAACACCCTCACTGATGGGGCCTCAACCACCTCCCACAGAAACCCATTCCATACCCTCGGAGTCCTACCTGTCAGGAAGTACTTCCAGGCATCCAAATTGAATCTTGGTTCCTTGAGCTTGGCTCCATTGGAGCACATCTTGCCCTCCTCTGCAGGGGAGAACAGGTCTCTACCCACCTCCATGTGACACCCCCTCACGTACCTATATGTTGCCAACAGATCCTCTCAGAGTCTCCTCTTCTCCAGGCTGAAGAGACCCAGTTCCCTCAGTCTTGCCTCATCTGGCTTCCCCTGCAAACCGGCCACCAACCTTGTGGCCCTACGCTGCACTGACTCTAACCTGGCTATACCCTTCCTGTAAGCCCAGAACAGAAGGCTAAACTTTAGTGATAAAGCCTCAGTGCTACTGTGGTGACCCCTGTGATATCTGTAGGAGGACAAGTCAGCTCCAAAGGCACCATTTGCTGAATGGCCTCTTGGGCACACTGTGGTCCCTGGGCAAAGCAGCCATGCTGTTGCATCCCATGACTTGTTGTTTTGTATAAGCAGACCTACTGATGGATTCAGACAACACACTAATCCAATGATCAAGGGTTGGGTGTGGGTTGTTGGTTAATTGTGTGTTATTGTTGAAAGGAGGGTTACTGTGTTGCCTGAACCAAGCTAGCACATCATGAATGCTTAGTTGTTGGGTTGTGACCTGTGGTTCGTTCACCATTGTCTATTCTCTCAGCTTGGTTCAGACAACATGCTAACACTTATTGCAACAACAGCCCATGGTTCAACAGCAGCTCATGTTCAACCCATACTCAGTCTTTGAGGGCGGGTTATCATGATAACTGAACCCAGCCATGAACTAGAGCATCCCAACATTAGGGTAGATGTCGTCCCAGAAAGCAGATGCAGGCAGCTAAGGCTTGATGCAGGGTGGCAGAGGCAGGGCTACAAGAGGCCCCACTCCGCTCAGTGCCGTCTCTAGAAGGGCAGGGTCCTCTCCATGGCCATGTTCTCCTGGGACAAGAGAAGCAGTGAGAGAGTCATTGGAGCCAGAGTCTTCAGGACAGGCTGATCTCCTTGGGATGGGGAGATACCTACAGGGATGCCAAAAGTCCTCCCCAAAGCGGGATATCCAGGGGCTTGGCATTTGCGCCTGTCAGGAGATGCCGAGTCTAGGGCCATGCTATAAAACCCACACAGGGGGATCAAACCTCAGATGAGGCGGCTTCTTGGGCCCTCTCCTGCTGCTGGGAGAAAAACATCTTCCAAACTGCTTTTCTGGAAAGCAACTTGACAGGATGATATTTGAGAAGGAAAAGAAATCTTATGGATGATTATTTAGAATTGTTTCGGTACATGTGATTCTCTACATTGTGAGCCGTCCTGAGATGCCGAGGCATAAGGGACGGCATACAAAAATTTTAAATAAATAAAATAAAATAGATACATGTGTTGTGTGCTTATATGTTGGCATGCAAATGGCTTTAGTATTAAGTATAATGTGTTTCTAAGGGTCTTAAAAGCATTCAGAAGGCTTCAGCTATTGGGCAGCATAGAAATATAGTGAATGAACAAAAATGATCAACAGGGAAAAGATTAAGGTCCTCTTTCCTCCTCATCTTTCAGCCAGTCTGGACCACAACCTCCAGTGGAAGCTTTCTTAAAGTACAGAGGGGAAACCTACATCAAACTGGGAGAGACATGTGAATTGGCTCTTAGCCATGACTCACAATTTGTAGGTAAAATTAATTAAGCTCTTTCTACTCTCCTTCCCACCTTAGCATCCATGGATGCCCTTCCAAAGTGGGGAACTAAACAGCAGATGGGGAGGGGGGGTGATTTTCAAAATTGCTCCCCGTTCAATGACCAATTTCTCCAGGTTTCAGCCTCTGCCAAAGATAAACAGAGTGCACATTACCAAAGCCACAGGATCACTGTCGAGGCTGCCTTCAGCGCTTGTGTCCATATCTAAAGAAGAACACATTGTGAGGTTAGCTGGGTGTGTACAGTCAAAATAAAGAAGGCCTCAGCTTTTGAAACTCAGGAAGTTAAATTTAGCAACCGGGAAAGGAAGACAATCTGTGATTTCGGGGGGGGAGGGAAATGTGCAAAACACCAAAATCTAATCGACATCACTTCACATTCATTTGTATGCTTTACTGCTCAAGGATTAATGTGGGGAAATCTGCACTGCAGCCCCCTCCCTGCATTGATGGGGCACATGCTACCAAATGCTTCTGGCTGGAAACCTGAGTTTGTGTCGCAACACAAATGCATTTGCAGGAAGTGCTGACAAGGAGAAGTATGCAGAGAAATTACCGTTAAAGCCTGCTTTGTTTTCTGCTAGTTGTAACTCAGCTATGCAAAAGTGCAAAGGAGGGAAAGGAGATGTTTTTATAATCCTCCTGCTGCTCCCTCACAAAAAAATCACAGAGGAGGAGAAAAGGTGCTGCTCCTTGCTCCAGTCCTCCCAAGCCTGTGGAATCAGCAGCACCCCCTTCTCCTTCACTCAGAATCAAGCAAGCGAGCGAGCAAATATGCCCCTTCCCAGAAGGACTTTCCCAAAGGTTAGCTCCAAGGAAGTGTATGTGATTTGGTGGGATGAGACTCTGCATTTCAGCAAGTTGTTTGCTGAGCAAAAGGAATGGGAAACAATTGGGAGGGCTTGAAAAGATACACCAAATTTTATGTTTTCAGAGAGGGGGACATTTCCAGGTCAGAAAGAAAAAGAAGCAGGGCAGAGGCAAAGGAGGTGGGAAAGCAACTGAAGGATCTCCAACTTTTGCTGAAGCCCACTCCCCTTCTGGGCCATCATTCTCCACCTGGGTTGCTCCAGGCACCATCTCCCATTCCTGTCTCCAACACTAGGAATGTGCCAGAGGGCAGGGGTTGGAGAAGAAGTCTCAGAGAAGCGTGGCCATTCCTGGTCTAGATTCCCTAAAGCGAGCATGAGCAATATGTGGCCCAGTGGTCAAATGCAACCTCCCAGTGCACTCGCCCACTGTGACCTTCCCCTACCTCCCTGATATTTAAAGGTTGTTTTTTGGAAGGGAGGGAGGGAGGTGCTCACATTGGCTACACAGCACTCAAAGACCAAATTTTCTTTCCAAAATTGGAAATTCACATTCCACAGCTGCACCTGTATCCCAAGGGTTGGAGTTCACTTGGAAACAAGCCAGAGTTGACCAGTTTGCCACCAAATTTGACTGGCAAAAAAGCCATTTGAACTTTTAGGAAGGTGCCCTGTGGACTGTGGCAGGAGTCCAGGGGGCAAAAATGGCCCTTGGACTTCTGAAAGTTGCCCCTCCCATTCTAAAGGGACACATCAGCTCCTGAGCTTCTTGGCTGAACGGCTGTCTCACCTGCCTCCTCTCACTTTCTTCCTAGAGATGACAGAAGACTCCCCTCATCCATGCTGCAATCTCTCACTCAGCAGGGTCTCCATCCATGGTTAACTCACCTTCCAGCTCATCTTTGCAGAGGATGATGAATTTGCAAACGAGGTCATGATTGTTGGCAAAACGTCGCATGAGTATCACGGCATCCAAGATGCTCACCTTCCCATAAAATTTCTCCCGTAGTCGGCGGACACTTTTCTCCAGCTGCAACCAGGATCAAGGAAGCCAACATTAAGAATACAGAAACCCTCACCACTTAGCCAGGCTCCTTCATACCTCCCTCTACTCCCTTGGCTGACTTTGGAGGGCCAAACTAGGTATACTGTTAAAATACATCAGGGTTTAGCCATCACATCAGGTCTTGCAACAAAAAGAATAGCAGACACAGAGAGAATGTCTTGCACTTTCCTTTCCTCTTGTTATCCTGACAAAAATCATCCCTTCGTGCCTTCTATTAGTGTGAATGGGAGCTTTCCATCTGGAACTAAATAGCAGATGGGGGGCAGGTGATTTTCAAAACAGTAACAGGGGAGGAGAGAATTAACATCCCCCTGCATACAAACACCTTGAACTTTAGCAGGGAAAACAGATGTAACTGGCATTTTTAAAAAAATAACCATACTGAGCAATAGACTATTGCTGCATAGAATATTCTTACTGCATAGAATATTCACACTTTTTCTTTATATTTCTGTAAGTAAAAGAATTAGAAAATCCATAGTATACATGTTTGGAGCTCAGGAATTAAAACTAAAAATTCTGAAAGAAGGCAGGTACACTGCATGCTTCTTCCCTCTCCAATGGCCTAAAGCCAGGCATGACGTTCATGGCCTGGATAGGATTTGAATTAGGAATTGTTCAACTTGCAGCTCTAAATCAGGGAATGATGGAACAAGATCCTCAGTCCACAGGTAGTCCAGTGGCCAATTACTACTGAACCTCCTAGTACTTATTGGCTTCTGAGATTTTTGCAAAAAAATATTGTCCTGGATGGATGTTGGTCTGATCCGAGATGTGTGCACTTTGTAATCTGAGAATGGTCAACCAGTGACTCCTTTCCAGTTTGATATAAACACCTGGAAAGCAACCCTAGATACCTCATCATACCATAGTAAGAAAAGCTTAACTAGAATTTGATGTGAAGTATAAACGAACAAACCATGGTTTAGCAATGGTTAACAAGCCAGAATCAGAAACCATGTTGTGAAGGGGTTTGTGCTAACTACAGCTTGGTATGATATTTGAATTGTCAAGTCATAATTACTATTTTTACCCCATTTTCAGAGTCCTCTGCGGCAGAGAAACAGGAGTAACAGTATGACTCTACATACTGAGAGGACAGAAGTGGGTAAGTAACTCTAAACCATGGTTTACCTGGGGGATATTTGAAAGCTGAAGCCATGCACTGCGTTCTGAATTAAGGGCAGTAATGTGAAATGCCTGAGCTGGTAATGTAGATATCAGATCACTTCTTGGCAAGTGTCCTGTGTGTGCATGCTTACATGATTTATTCTGTTTATTATTGCATCTATAGCCCAACCTTTACCTCTTACAAGGAAACCAAGGTGGCTTATGTGGGCTCCCTCTTCTCCATTTTTATCCTCACAACAACCTTATGAAGTGGGTTACACTGGGAGTCTGGGACTAGCCCAGAGTCACCTAGTGAGCTCCATGGCCAGATGGGGACAAGAACTCCAGCCTCCGAAATCTTAGCCTAACTCTTCCACCACCACACCAGACTGTCTTTCAGCTTAGATGTTACACAGCCCTTCCAGCATGCTTTCCAAGAAGACCAGGCACCTGAAGGAAACCTGATAATAATAGGTAGATTTTCTGTGAAAACAATAGCTGGTATAGAACATTTTTAAAGGAAAACATCCAAAAGGCCTGGTTGGATTGTGACTTGTGCTTTGCCACTGCTTGCACTTTGCCACCAGGTGCCTGTCCTGGCTGACAAGTGAGGACAATGAAGAGCCCGTTCATCTCCTTGGTATACACCTGAATTATGGGCGATGAAGCAGGTTGGGAGACGTCTAGAGCATAGGTGGAGGAGATCACGGGGTGATTCTGACCGAACACACTTAAGAGCCCATTATCGAGCCTATACTGTGGCGGTGAGGATGGCAAAGAAGAAATTCTTCTCCGTTTCCATTGCCTCCTCACAATGCCGTTCGGCGGAGCTTTTTCGGGTGGTGCAGGGGCTGATACATCCGGGCCCAAAGAAAGATCTTGTGCCACCCTCGAAGGCCCGCTGTGATGACTTTGCCAAGCACTTCAGGGAGAAAATCGCTCAGATTCGCAACAAGCTTGACTCTGCTATTGAACCAGATTCTACTGGGGAGACACCATCGACGCTGTCGAGTCCACAATTAATGGATGAATTTCAGTTGTTGCGGCCTGATGATGTGGACAAGGTGCTTGGACAAGTACGTCCTACCACTTGCTTACTAGACCCATGCCCATCTTGGCTACTTAAGAAAGCCAAGGGCGGGATGGGGACCTGGATCCTGGAGGTGGTCAACGCCTCTTTAAGAGACAGCCGGGTACCTGCCCCTTTAAAGGAGGCGGTAGTCCAGCCAGTCCTAAAGAAGGCATCCCTGGATCCAGAGGTGGCCACCAATTATAGACCGGAGGCCAACATCCCGTTTCTGGGCAAGGTGCTAGAGTGGGTGGTGGTGGGACAACTCCAAGCACTCTTGGATGAAACTGATTATCTGGACCCATTTCAGTCCGGCTTCAGACCCGGGTATGGCACTGAATCTGCCTTGGTCACCCTGTACGATGACCTGTGCAGGGAGAGAGACAGGGAGTGCGTCCCTGTTAGTTCTCTTGGACTTCTCAGCGGCTTTCGATACCATTGACCATGGTATCCTTCTGAATAGGCTAGTGGGATTGGGAGTTGGAGGCACCACATGGCAGTGGTTCCGCTCCTATCTCAACGGCCGATTTCAGAAGGTGGTGCTGGGGAACTATGGCTCTGCGCCATGGCAGTTATGCCATGGAGTTCCGCAGGGGTCCATTTTGTCCCCTTTGCTATTTAACATCTACATGAAACCGCTGGGAGAGGTCATCAGGAGGTGTGGGCTGTAGAATCATCAGTACGCTGATGATACCCAGCTCTACCTTTCGTTTTCCACCAATCCAGGTGAGGCAGTGGCTGTGCTGAACCGGTGCCTGGCTGAGGTAATGGGCTGGATGAGGGCCAATAAACTGAAGCTCAATCCAGACAAGACGGAGGTCCTGTTGGCGGGTGGCTCGGGCCTCGGGATGGGGGACTTGGGCCTTGTCCTAAATGGGGTTGCACTCCCTCTGAGGGACAGGGTTCGCAGCTTAGGAGTGCTCCTTGACCTTGAGCTGTCTCTAGAAGCTCAGGTGATGGCGGTGGCGAGGAGCGCCTCCCTTCAACTTCAGCTAATACATCAGCTGCGTCCCTTCCTGGAGAATGACTGCCTGGCGACAGTGACACATGCGCTGGTAACTTCCCGATTAGATTTCTGTAATGCACTCTACGTGGGGCTACCCTTGAAGACGGTCCGGATACTTCAATTGGTGCAGAATAGAGCTGCCAGGTTGCTGATGGGGACTGGGCGTTGTTCTCGTATAACCCCAGTTCTCTGTCAGCTCCACTGGCTTCCGATTGAAGTCCGGGCCCAATTCAAGGTGTTGGTTATGACCTATAAAGCCCTAAATGGCTTGGGACCTGGATATCTAAAGGAAGGCTTGCACCCATATATGCCCTCCCACCCCTTGAGATCAGCAACAGATGCCCTTCTCCGGGAACCCTCTGTGAATGATATTAGGAAGATGAGTACCCGGAGGAGGACTTTCTCTGCGGTGGCGCCCCATCTATGGAATGCGCTCCCCAGAGAGGTCCACCTGGCGCTGTTGTTATTTGCTTTTCGGCGCCAGGCTAAGAACTTTTTATTTAAAACTTATTTTAATTGCTAAATTATTGTATTTATTAGGATTTTAAAATTAGCCGGGGTTAAACCAGGGGTTTAAAAAAAAATTCTTTTAAATTGTTATATTGTTATTGTTTATGGGGTTTTTTTTTTTTTTGTATTTTTTGTGAGCCGCCCCAAGGCTTTGTTGCGATGGGGGCGGCATAGAAATGTTTTAAATAAATAAATAAATAGAATTTGCCCATGTTCTAAATTGCATCAGAATTCCACAAGGGCCTTTTCCCGTACCTTTGTCCCCATGGCGGCAGCTGCCATTTGCCCCAGATAAACATAAGCCCATAGGAATCCATTAGATCACCCACACACACTAGCACAGAAAAATTCTTAGCAGTTTGCTGAAGCTCCTAGTTACAAAACAATGCAGCAGAGCATGCAAGCCAAGGGTAGAGAGGCCCTGGGGACCCACTTTTTCCTGCAGATTTCTCTGTGCTTGAATGTCCGCTGTGCCAATGACTTTTTCACCCACACTGGCTAATTCTCACATTGCTATCTCAAATGAAACCTGACAGGAGAAGCACAGGGCCAGTTATTTGCACCTGATCGATGTAACTAGGCAACGTTAACAGTTCACTTGGGCCCAGTGTAATGGAAGGGACTAAACCACCTCTTATCCATAATCCATATAGGCTGCAGATTTTTGCTTCTTTGGTGCAGGATTTAGGTGGAGATGGACAGAGTACCCCTCTAGCCTTTAGAACCAGCCCCCATCCCAAAAAAGCAGCTGCATTTCAAGGCCTTGCTTCCAAATAACAGGATTGCCATTGTTTGTACATGCACATGTAATGCCAAACCACCACCACATCTTAGCATGAAAAGGATGAGCCTGTGTGAACGTCCAGCTTGCACCTTCTCACTCCCACGTCTCTGGCACAGCCCTGCTGTGAAGCGCAGCTAAGCAAGCCATCCAAATCTGAATGGGAGCTTGGAAATTGACTTGTTTTTGAATGTGGACATAACCCTAAATTGCAGTTGATTTTAAAAATAGATGCGCGAGGTTCTGGTCTCCTTCCCACGGTCACACCGAGAAGTGGGGAGGGAGTGCGGCAAACAAACCCAGAGCTCATGCAGGCTATTCCTTATATTGTAATGCCAAATTATGGCTTAGCATTATGGGCAATGGATCTTTTGAGTTTTTTCTTCTTGTACTTTTAAACATCTGTTTAGCTGGCAAGTATGCACTGGATTGCATGTCAAATTTGCATAATTTCCTGTCATTCATGCAGATGATTTCAATGTCACACA